TGATTTCTCTCTACTGAAATGACATTTGGAAAAATATGTTCACTTTTGTCATAGTTTTAATTCCATTTAAGTAATGTTTGTTTGGTGGAATTCTGTTGTTATTCCTTGGCAAAATTTTCCTATTCTCTCATCTTCCACTTTAGATTTCTATCCCTTTTTTTGTTTCAGCCAACATTCTAGAAGTATTTATAGTTAACCCATTCATTTGTCTTAAAATAACTGAAGTACTGTTGTTATTGCAGAAGTCTGAGAGAAAATTCCAGATTTAAGCAACTAATTGAAGGACTGTTGGAAACCATCCGTGCTTTTGAGCTTGACACTGGAGTGAAGTGTAAGTGGTGTGAATGTATGCCCCCAATTTTTTTTAAATCARATTTTGACATATCATTATTATTTATAAGGTATCCCATTTACTGTGCAGTAATAAGGATGGGAACAGTAATTGAAAGTTTTTTTCTTGGCAAGTCAGACATGTGCTTGTTTATATTTTGGTAAACAAGACATTATGGTTGGGGGCAGATGATAGTGTTTTTAAAAAATAGACTTTATTATTTAATTGTTTTCAACTTGCTCAGCCATTCTAAAATCACTAGAATTAGATCCTGTTCTTGTTAGATTATCTGTATAACCAAAACTGGTTGGGAAAATTAATTGGCAGGATCGAAAATTTAGTTATTACTTGAAGAGTTGTTACTTGAAGAGTACTCAGAATAATCAGACTAATAATTCAACAAGATTTCTTTCTTGGATAAACATATTTTAGCTTATATGCTCTAAATGCATGGGGTATACAAAAGTCTATTTCATTAATATATAACATTTGGGTCATAATCTGTGGGGTTATTTTTTTTTAACCTAATAATATTTTTTAGTTTTAAAGAGTCATGACTTTCCTAAAACATCTGTGGAAGACACTGCTTCTGAGTTCCTAWGTAAAGAAAGTTCTGTCATCCAAAGTAAGGGSTTCAGAAACAGGAGGACAAGTGCTAAAGGACAAGAAAACTGYACCTTGGTAACTGTTCTTTCTCATTTTATTTTCATGGATTGTTTAAAAATGTATTTGGAATGTGTATACATGCATATACATTAATGAATGAAGTAGGAGGTTTTGGGTTGATCTCAGATTGCTGTTTGTCTTTAGTAATGTCTTGAACCATATTATATTTTTGTCTATATATTTTTGTCTTCCTAACCCACTTGAGAAAGATGTTTACATAAAATGACCTAAATTTGTATGTAACATTGCCATAATATAGTCTGTTACTGCAACTAGCATTGAAAACTTGTTCAACCTGCTTGTTTCATGAGACTGTCTGTTTGCAGGGTTTTCACCTTTTCAGGGGTAAGATCCTAACTATGCCTAAGGATTCATGTTATTTGTAGGGTTTTTATCATTTTTAGGGGTAAGATCATAACTATGTCTTAGGATTCATGAGGCATTACCCAGCTTGGGGTAATTTCTGTGTGTGTGATTGTCCATGACATGTTGTTTCTGTTTTCATTTGCTTAATGCTGAGTGGAATGTTAGACACCACAGAATGTATTTGATCTGTTAAGTGCATATAAATTATTTCAATTGACACATTTCATTACTGATACCAGCATGATAAATTACTTGTACAGGACCTTTGCATAGAACCTATCAATGCATATAAACTAAATATTTATATTAGCCCCCTGCTAAAGTTTAAATAGCTGTGATTTTTTTTTAACACCCCACTTTTATAAATAACTATTTCCTTTCTGCTTTTCTGTCAGCAGGAAGCTAGTGTGAATATTCAGCTTACAGATCCCAAAATGGGTTGCCCAAGAAACAAAGCCCAGAAATGTGACTCTCAAAAGGGTATTTATATGGAATTTGGTAAGATCTGTTGCAAATCCACTCTAATTGATCTTGTGTACAATGCTTGCAAAGTAMTGAAAGGTGATTATGTTCAAATCTTTATAAACACTAATTTCTCCTTAACACMCTAAATGACAACAAARGGACAAATCATGGATAATTCCAAGYTYGTAAATCAAAAGGGKTTTTTAYATAATTTATTATATAATGGSAAATAATKCTGMTGTAGTGARCCCTTAAGCCTTTGTGTGCAAGATCCAAAGAGAAGTTTACAGATGTGCAAAAACTTGCAGCTGTTATAGCTAAAGGTAACTAMTGTTTCCTAAAGAATGCTAAGCCTTGTCACCAGTGCTTGAGATGAGAATAAAGTCTGTTTGAGAAATGAATAGTTTATTGCTATCTATCCTAGCTCTTCAGAATTTTATTTTATCTGGTGTTGACTGCTATGAGAAACAAGACAGATGCCAAGCATATCTTATTTTTTATGTTGTTCCTTCAAAGAAGGAATTACTGCTTTTAATGGGTACAGTTTATTTCCTTGCTTTTTTCTTTATTGTATTTACTAGGCTCAAATTTGAAATTCTAAATACTACTAGTAGTTTCATGTATAAATTTAGAAATTAGAAACTAAGTTTTAGCTAGTTAATTCTTAGTTACCAGTCGTTGTACTTAAATAGAATTTTATGCTGGAGCCATGTAGATAGTTATACACAGAGATCATAATTAGGTAAAATACTTCACAACTAACTTGATTTCAACTGCTAAAAATTGAAAGCATCTAGCTCTAGAGAGGACTAGCATGTATTTGATGATAAACATTTAATCTGGCAAGTCACCTTGCTCTGAATCATTCCAACCAGAGTAACAGCTGATTTGTTTTCAGGCTCTGAATCATCTGAAGAGTTTTTTAAACAGGCAAACAAAACTGGGTAAGTAAAGCTGATTAAGGAATACACATTTTCTAAAGAAAATAGTTCAATATTCTCATTTMCTATGTTCTGGTTTCTGAGCATAGGACTGATAGAATTCTTAAGCTGACAAATTATTTTCAACTTTGAGAGCATTAGGGTGTAATGGGTAGCTGAGTTCCAACAGTTTGCCATATTACATGCTTTAAAACTCTTTTCTAAATATTCTGTTGYTTACATAGATCTTCAATAGAAAAATATTTACTGTGTTTAAGAAAGTAAATATTAAATTCAGGATTGTGAGGGAGGATTTTTTTAAAGAAATGACCTGAAACTCTGAAGGTATCTAGTTGTGATGAATATCAATCATGCAGCTTGGCTTCTCCAGAAATTGTTTCAGAGAGCAAAAAGGGCAAAATAAATATCATCTTCTATTCTGTCTGTTGTGGTTTTGTCTGCAATAAAAGTAACTTTTCTTTCCCAACAGGTTTGAGGCAGCAGTTCAGATTTCTTCTCAAGAAAGATTAGAAGAACTTGAGAGTGCTGAGAAAGAGAATGAAAATTCTTGCCCTGCACAGCCCAACAAGCTGAATRCCAAAGAAATAACACTACTAAATGTCATAGGTGTGTTATTTTGGTGACAAAGATGATTAAGCTTGRAAGAGACCACAAGTTAGCATTTTTATTTTATTTGTGGTTAACATTTTATTTGCATTCTATAATATAGTTCTGTTGATGCCTACACCTAGTGATGGTATGATATGAGATTATTCTTRTAGACTAGATATTTAAGTGTGGATGTTCTATACACAGGAACAAAAAGGGAAAAAATAACTTGATCAAAGTACAAAACTTMATCTATTCTACATGAGCCATATCATACCTTATAGTACAATTGGAGAGCACCAGCTGGTAATTCATGTAAAAAAAATAGAAGAACGTGTAATATGATCTTTCTGCCTTTCTCTAGAGGGAGATTTGTGCAGTGTAATATTCTGGTTTGGGGGAAATAAGAGCAGGTCTTTTGAAACAAAGTAGCCATTAAGCTCGTTACTGTGCTTGTGTGTGTAAAATAGAGCTTAATAATTTATAATACYTATAAATCTTAACAGGTGAAAGTGATTTCTCAAAGGAAGGCTTGAGTGAGAAAAGCACTCAGAGCATGGCTGGATGTGCCAAAGCTGACCAAGTGAATGTGACTGAATGCCAGAGCTCTCCCTTACATGTTCTGGCTGCAGAYCTACACCCAGAGCAGTGTGACAGAATAGGTAATGCCATTCCCAAAGCAAATGGGGACACACCATCCTTAAAGGACGCAGAAGAAATGGATGAAAAGCAAACMAAGTGCAACAGTGAAAACCAAGAGTGTGATTTAGAAGATAGTTCAGAGGGCAGGATGGATGAAAGCAAGGAAATGGATGCTGTTGTACAAGGTGAAGAAGCTATAGAAGCGTGTGAACCTGAGAACAACTCTTTCCAAGGCAAGGAACTTCCTCTGGAGAAGCTGCTTCARCCAGAGACATTTCACTCCACCCCCATGAACAAAGTCTCCAAGAAGAGACTGAAGCGGAGCATTCAGAAAGTCAATGAATGGTTTTCAAAAAGCAATGAGATTCTGTCTTCCAGTTCTTCCCCAGCTGAATCTGCTGGATCAAGTGATGCTTCAGGGGAAGGAGATCTGTGTTTATCAGTTAAAGAATCCTGTATTTCAGAAAAGACTGGCCCTAAGGTAGRTTCCATGGAAATTGCAGCAGTTGAAGGAAACAGGAGGCGGTCAAAACAAACAGCAGATAACATCAAAGACAAAATATTTGGAAAAACATACAAGAGAGAGAGGAAATCAAATACCCCTTCTGCCTTGAGAGATGCTTTGCCTGCTATGAGAAAGGAAGATGTGGCTGCTGAGAAGAGCCTGGATAGTTTCAGCAAAGACAGACTCAAAMGAAAAAGGAAGACTGCCTGCGCCCTGCAGCCTGAGGATTTCATCAAGAAAAAAGATACACAAGAGGCAGATGGGGACCCTCAAAGTGGTAATTGGTGCCTTGGAGATGCTGARAAGAAAAGATGTGATGAAAGTGTTGCTGTTAATGAGAGTCCCCTCTCTCAGAATAGAGCAAATAACACACTGACAGAACTTGAGGAAGGAGGAAACTCTACATGGAAGAAAGCTACTGAGAAGGTCACCAGCAAGCACTGTGATGGAGAATTAGAAATGTATAGCTGTGATCAGAAAAGCACCAAAAAAAGAAATCCTGCAGCAAAAAGATGCAGGCATTCCACTAGAACTATGTGTGCTCTACAGCTGGTAGTGGATAGAAATTCTGTTTCCCCTGATCCAGCTGAGCCACAGATTGAGAGCTATCCAAGCAGTGGAGAGCCCAGGAAAGCTGATTTGGAGCAAAATCAAGTCAGACGCAGCAGAAGGCTTCAGTTACGTGCTAAAGAAATGACAGAAGGARCAAGGAAAGGAGTAAAGGGAGTGAGAAAGAGTGACAGTGATTGTGGAAAGTCTGTCTCTGGAGACCAAAGGAATGTGGCAACTCCCTCTGCTGAATGCCAAGATCTGTGTGAGCCTCAGGATATGCTGAGTCACAAAYCAGTCACTAATGTGAAGGGGGGTGAACTGGAAACAAATGAAATGCAGGTTGGTGTAAAGAATTTATCTGCCACTGCAGAAACTGGAAAAAATCTGTTCAATCCTTCATCTTCACATGAGCCTTCAAACTGGGGCTCCACCATGCCTGGTACAGGTTCTGAAGACAGTGAAATACGAGGTAGCCCTCTCCTCCTGCAGCCTCCCTCCGTGCCTACTGCTTCTCACCAGACTGAAGAGAACACTGAATCACCTTCTGCTTTTCCCCAGGAGTATGGGCACAATTCACAAAGTGTTCCAAAGYTGCCAGTGGCTGAACATGTTTTGGAATTGCCTAAGGAAGCTGAAGACAGTGAATTAGACACACAATATCTACGGAATATATTTAGGCATTCAAAGCGTTCATCCTTTAGCCTGTTTCACATTCCCAGGCAGGAAGAWTCTGCTTCTGCAAATTTAAATCCATCATGTGCTGCTCAGGTAGAAAACAAGCCTAGCAAACATTTACAACCAGAAAGTTTGCAAGAAGAGAAAACTGCTCAAAGCTCGAGCAGGGTTTCTGAAAAAGAGGAGCTTAAGACTTGTGAGTCTGCCTGTGTTGATCAAGGGACTCWGACACCAGCAAGAACAGGCACTGCTGAGACTGAGAGCAAAAACAGATTGTTGGAACAGCAAGGCAATGAAAATCCAGTGTCAACTGACATAGGGATAGGAAGTGAGTTGAGACAGAATCCCACTGAAAGTAGTAAAAGCCAAAGTGATCAGAGTAACACAGCAAAGCACAGTTCCAAACAAACTGATTTAAACATGGGCCAGGGAAYAGGCTGCAGTTCAGAGAGCAGTCAAGCAGGAAAGACTGAAGCTGATTGCAAAGAACCAGATCTACATTTTCAGTCCAGATCAATAACTTGTCCTGCAGTTTGTCAGCAAAACCCTGCTGAATTCAGCAGTGAAGTCATTGGGACAGAAAGTAGCAAAAGCGAAAGCAAATGCACAGAGGATGAAGAGCAAGCAGYCCAAACCCTTAGCACAGCAATGCCCAAGTGTTTGGTTGCAGAGGCTCCAGAAGAACCTGTTAGAGGGAGCAGTGTTCTCACAGGTTCCTCTGAAACCCCTGATGGYTTGCTGTGCTCTGATACTGATATTGAGAACAGCAGCTTCTGTGAAACGGATAGGAACGAGCAATCTGCGGTGTTTGCAAAAAGTGACAACGCCCTGGGACATGAACTGCMCAGCAGAAATGCAAGTTCTAAGCCAAGATCTCGAGGTATTCAAAAATCTCGAAGGCGAGTGCAGAAACTGCCATCATCAGATGAGGAATCCTGTGAGGATGAAGAGTTACCATGCTTTCAGTCATTGATCTGCAGCAAAGCAGCAAGCCCACCTTTGCAGGTTGATAAACAAATACCAYCGGTGGTGGAGTCTCCAGGGAGTCCCAACATGTTTCCTCCCACTGGGAGCAATGATGACAACGTTATGCAGGAAGTGCCTGAAGCTGCCCTAAACAATGTGTGTGTTTCACCCAGCCAGGAGTCAGAATGCTCTGTCAATTTATTTTCTTCCCAGTCCAATGCATCTGAAGAATCTGTTAATGAAGCACAAGAGCTGAAGAAACACTCGCCACAAGCTCCTGTATCCAAACAAATCAGCAACGTGAATGAGAGTAAAGAAACTTCTCAAAATTGTAATGGAGGGCTGAGGAGAAGCAAAGATGAATGCCAAGARGATCCAGATATGGGAGCACACCTAGGTACAAAGCCAAGATTTTTATCTCTGCAGCTGTTTATAATCTGTTTATTATCTCTTCTCAGTTTATAAAATCCTTACACACCAAAATTTTTGGTGTTTGCACGGGAACATTGTTCTGTATTTATGGGGTGCTTGCTCTTCTAAAGGAATGTATCAGCCTTAAACAATCAAACAAAAAACCCCTCAGTGGTTTATTTCCTGAAAATTATGTTCTTCCAGTGTTCTTTGTTCAGAGCACAAATGAACAGACTGGGCCCTAGAGACTGTCAGATGGGAATTCATTTTTGAGGGAAATCCTGGTTCTATTACTGCAATGTGATACTTGTCAGCAAAATTTCACAGCCTCTCTAAGCTTTTTCCCCCAGTTGAAATGCTTGTAGAAATTGGCTGTAGAATTTTGTAGTGAACATTTTGACTTTTTTATGGCCTTTGTAAATGTTTAGRATTTTCATCACTGCTGAAACACTGAATTCTGTTCCATTTGTCATGTATGTGACATGGTGTTCTTCAAAATGTTCACTTAAAGGAGATCTGTGTTTCTAACACGAACATTTTCAAAACTTGTCACTTTATTKTTACAGTTATTAGCTCTCCAAAACCTCTGTGTGGTTAAGAGATTATGGATTGTGTTGGTTGTTTTTTTTCTTTAACCCAGGGTTTTTTTTTCCCACCTTTTTCAAGGTGAAGCATCTGGATATGAGAGTGAAATAAGTATTGTGGAAGATTCATGTGAGCCATTCTCCCAGGGTGAAATCCTCACTACACAGGTGAGTTTGTGCCCTAAATGCCAGAAGCAGCTCGAATTTGAGGAGATAAGCAAGGCCATAAAAGCTGTCAAATCAACTGGATAGAAAACTTCTTTCATCATAATTCTTTGTCACTAAATTACTTCCAAAAGCATAATTAATGCAGAACTGAAGAGCTGCTTCTAAACCTTTATTTGTCCAGCTTTGCCTCTCCTGTTGACCTTACATTGCAATGGCCACAGCTTATGTGGTTAATTGTGGCAGGTGCTAATTAATGCATCTCCACACTTGACCAATGCTGGAAATGTCACCTTCCTGTAGATAAAAGTTTTAAAGACAGGAATTTATAAGGATTTGGTGATAAGGATCAGATTTGTTACCATATGATATTTAGAAGCACAGAGATTTGTCTTCTGTGTATAAAGATCAAATCAAATCTATATTAGAATATTATAGATACAAGTCCCCACAGGGAATGTCTAATGGAAGGTGTGTCTAGCAATGTATTTTTTGTCTGCTGTTAATACCTTGAATGCTGCTCAATGCCTCAATTTATATATTGGGTGATTTTGGGGGTTTCTGTGGGTTCAGTAACAAAGAAGCTCCACACGGTGCCAGTGCTGGAGCTACAAATGGAACATTCAGTTCTGTGGAAATTGCTTCATCATGGAAGGTGAAGCATTTGGGTTTTTAAAAGGATCCAGTGAAACCTTGAGCTATTCTTATCAGGACCTGCCTATGGCATGTCTTTAGTCACATGTAATTTTGAGGGGAAAATAAGGAAGAATATTATGAAACATTTTAGTCCTTTAAATCATCTTTGGTGCTTTTAGTAATGGTGGAAAATGAAGACTCAATTTAAAATTTAATAATGAACATCATTGTATTGAGCTACTAATGCAGTTTGGACTAAATTTTCAACAAATTTGTGCAGGTGTTCTGTGTTGTTTACTTTTCTGATTGATTAAACTCTGAGACATCTAAAACAAAATATTGTGACTGGCAAAACAAGTGTGGGATTGTTTGGGTTTTTTGCTTTGATAAACTTCTTGTTTGGGTTTTTTGCTTCTGATAAACTTCTTGTTTGGGTTTTTTGCTTCTGATGTGGAATGTGTGAACTATTTGTTACAGTAAAAGCACCACAGTCACCTTTTGAAAACCTGGTAAAAACTAATTTAGAACAATTGTGCTATTTCTAATTTTCAAGTGTTTGCTAAAGAAATTTATCCTGAGTTTGCTAAAGTTGGCATTCTTGTGTCTCCTTTGCAGCAAAAGAATGCAATGCAAACTAGCCTGAAAAAACTTCAGCAAGAAATGGCTGTGCTTGAAGCAGCACTGAAGCAGCATGGAAGTCAGAACTGTGAATTTTCACCCATCCATAAGGAACTGCCACATTCCAGTRCTGAAGGAACATTTGGAATGGATCAAATGAGAGAAGAAAATAAAAGGTGAATGGTTTTGTTTAATGTTTGGGGGGTTTTCTTTCTAAACTTTTATTTTTAAAAAAATCTAAAATACCTCTGACTCTCTGAGAAGTTACTATAGTTTCTACTAACTGTTGCTACGTTTTTCTGACACTTAGAGTGAAAAAGGTTTTAAAATCAATTTCCCTCTCTCAAGGTCTCCAGAATTGTTKCTTCCATCTTCTGATCTCCCTAACAAAAAGGGTTTAGACCTGGAGCAAGGCCTTGAGCGTGACAGTGTTGTAAAGAACAAAACTCCCTCTGAAAAGGCAAATCCTGCTCAGGAAGCAGTGCAGGAATACAGACAGTGTCAGCTTGAAGCAGGTAACATTTAAGAGAATCCTGTGCATTTTGATTTCTGGTGGTGTTCTCCTTTTCATGTTTTTACATATTACCAAGATACAACTTTTTCTGTAAAACAAAGATTTTAATTTATATATTCCTGGTCATTTTCAAAAGATGTTACTTACCAAACTTTATTTGGTAAGTCCAGCTATATGGCTGCCCCTTGAGATGGGGTGTGACAGCATTTTGACAGCAATAGGAGTTTTTCTGTCTCACTTTTAAATTCATACTCTTTGACAATTTTGCTACTAAAAGTTCCACAGGTATTCTGATGTCTTGTCTGTAGATCAGGAAAAGTAATGATAGAGGCAAAGATGAAGTAATAAACACATAATGAGAGGAAATGATTGCAGAATTTAAACCTAAGAGAGCAGCAGCCTTCTACCATGACNTGTAGAAATTGGCTGTAGAATTTTGTAGTGAACATTTTGACTTTTTTATGGCCTTTGTAAATGTTTAGAATTTTCATCACTGCTGAAACACTGAATTCTGTTCCATTTGTCATGTATGTGACATGGTGTTCTTCAAAATGTTCACTTAAAGGAGATCTGTGTTTCTAACACGAACATTTTCAAAACTTGTCACTTTATTKTTACAGTTATTAGCTCTCCAAAACCTCTGTGTGGTTAAGAGATTATGGATTGTGTTGGTTGTTTTTTTTCTTTAACCCAGGGTTTTTTTTTCCCACCTTTTTCAAGGTGAAGCATCTGGATATGAGAGTGAAATAAGTATTGTGGAAGATTCATGTGAGCCATTCTCCCAGGGTGAAATACTCACTACACAGGTGAGTTTGTGCCCTAAATGCCAGAAGCAGCTCGAATTTGAGGAGATAAGCAAGGCCATAAAAGCTGTCAAATCAACTGGATAGAAAACTTCTTTCATCATAATTCTTTATCACTAAATTACTTCCAAAAGCATAATTAATGCAGAACTGAAGAGCTGCTTCTAAACCTTTATTTGTCCAGCTTTGCCTCTCCTGTTGACCTTACATTGCAATGGCCACAGCTTATGTRGTTAATTGTGGCAGGTGCTAATTAATGCATCTCCACACTTGACCAATGCTGGAAATGTCATCTTCTTGTATATAAAAGCTTTAAATATAGGAATTTATAAGGATTTTGTGATAAGGATCAGATTTGTTACCATATGATATTTAGAAGCACAGAGATTTGTCTTCTGTGTATAAAGATCAAATCAAATCTATATTAGAATATTATAGATACAAGTCCCCACAGGGAATGTCTAATGGAAGGTGTGTCTAGCAATGTATTTTTTGTCTGCTGTTAATACCTTGAATGCTGCTCAATGCCTSAATTTATATATTGGGTGATTTTGGGGGTTTCTGTGGGTTCAGTAACAAAGAAGCTCCACACGGTGCCAGTGCTGGAGCTACAAATGGAACATTCAGTTCTGTGGAAATTGCTTCATCATGGAAGGTGAAGCATTTGGGTTTTTAAAAGGATCCAGTGAAACCTTGAGCTGTTCTTTTCAGGACCTGCCTATGGCATGTCTTTAGTCACATGTAATTTTGAGGGGAAAATAAGGAAGAATATTATGAAACATTTTAGTCCTTTAAATCATCTTTGGKGCTTTTAGTAATGGTGGAAAATGAAGACTCAATTTAAAATTTAATAATGAACATCATTGTATTGAGCTACTAATGCAGTTTGGACTAAATTTTCAACAAATTTGTGCAGGTGTTCTGTGTTGTTTACTTTTCTGATTGATTAAACTCTGAGACATCTAAAACAAAATATTGTGACTGGCAAAACAAGTGTGGGATTGTTTGGGTTTTTTGCTTTGATAAACTTCTTGTTTGGGTTTTTTGCTTCTGATAAACTTCTTGTTTGGGTTTTTTGCTTCTGATGTGGAATGTGTGAACTATTTGTTACAGTAAAAGCACCACAGTCACCTTTTGAAAACCTGGTAAAAACTAATTTAGAACAATTGTGCTATTTCTAATTTTCAAGTGTTTGCTAAAGAAATTTATCCTGAGTTTGCTAAAGTTGGCATTCTTGTGTCTCCTTTGCAGCAAAAGAATGCAATGCAAACTAGCCTGAAAAAACTTCAGCAAGAAATGGCTGTGCTTGAAGCAGCACTGAAGCAGCATGGAAGTCAGAACTGTGAATTTTCACCCATCCATAAGGAACTGCCACATTCCAGTGCTGAAGGAACATTTGGAATGGATCAAATGAGAGAAGAAAATAAAAGGTGAATGGTTTTGTTTAATGTTTGGGGGGTTTTCTTTCTAAACTTTTATTTTTAAAAAAATCTAAAATACCTCTGACTCTCTGAGAAGTTACTATAGTTTCTACTAACTGTTGCTACGTTTTTCTGACACTTAGAGTGAAAAAGGTTTTAAAATCAATTTCCCTCTCTCAAGGTCTCCAGAATTGTTGCTTCCATCTTCTGATCTCCCTAACAAAAAGGGTTTAGACCTGGAGCAAGGCCTTGAGCGTGACAGTGTTGTAAAGAACAAAACTCCCTCTGAAAAGGCAAATCCTGCTCAGGAAGCAGTGCAGGAATACAGACAGTGTCAGCTTGAAACAGGTAACATTTAAGAGGAATCCAGTGCATTTTGATTTCTGGTGGTGTTCTCCTTTTCATGTTTTTACATATTACCAAGATACAACTTTTTCTGTAAAACAAAGATTTTAATTTATATATTCCTGGTAATTTTCAAAAGATGTTACTACTTTGTTTGGTAAGACCAGCTATATGGCTGCCCCTTGAGATGGGGTGTGACAGCATTTTGACAGCAATAGGAGTTTTTCTGTCTCACTTTTAAATTCATACTCTTTGACAATTTTGCTACTAAAAGTTCCACAGGTATTCTGATGTCTTGTCTGTAGATCAGGAAATGTAATGATAGAGGCAAAGATGAAGTAATAAACACATAATGATAGGAAATGATTGCAGAATTTAAACCTAAAAGAGAGAGTAGCAGCCTTCTACCATGACTACAAAAAGAGATGCAATTTTCTCAAGGAATAATTTCTCTTTTCCTCCAGAAAACGCAGAGGAGCAGAAATCTGAGATCAGGCAAAACAATGCATCTGGCTCATCAAATCTTTTTGGAAATGACAGCCAGAGTCCAGATAACCCTTCCTCCTCTGTAAGGCTTTTTAGCCCTCAGAGTGCAGAAGCCACAGATGAGCCTGGTGTAACTCAGGACACTGAAAAAAGCTGTGGCCAAGGAAACAAWKTGAAGAGAAGTGTGTGTTCTTCTCTACCTGTTCTGCACAGTGCAACTGGGAAAGAAAATTCTGCAAGTGCAGCTGTGAYTAAGAGGAAAGAAATGTCAATTGTGGCATCAGGCCTGAATCACAGCGAGCATGTAAGTGAATTTCAGAATTCTGAAATCATTAATTAATGATTCCTGATTACCACTAAAYAGAGAGATCTCTAAGTATGATAAAACTGATCTGGTAGGAATTGAAGGTGAGCAATGCAGCAAGTTAAGTCAAATTTATCACTCCTAAAACTGTGAGAATGCCACCTGAAATGGCAGTGTCAGGCTTTGAACTTTTGAAATCCTTAATGTCTGGGGGAAAAAAACATGATTCCAAAGCCAGGGGACTTCTAGGAAGCCTTAGAGTTGGGGAGGGGCTGTGGGGTGTTTGGTTCAGTTTGTGTTCTCAGATGGTGCTGCTTGACCCAAATTCTGATCCACAGTCAGCATTTCTGTAAATAATAATTCTCATTTGCTAATAAACCTGTTTGTGCACTCAGTTTCCAATCGGATTTGGCTTTTGGGTTCTAAAACACATACCAAGWGCTCTGCTTTGCTTTATTTTGTTGAATGGTGCCAAAACTGATTTAGGAAATGTACATTCTATGTGTCAGCACATAAAACTGATATTTTAAAGTAATTTTCCTATTACATTATGCTCCTACAAACTGGGGCTGTTGGGTGATTTAAAACTATTCATTTTTTGCTAACTGTTAATTTTCTTAACTACTTTGCAGTTGGTGGTCCGGAAGTTTGTGAAAAAAACTCAGAGCACTTTATCTAATCAAATAACTGAAGGAACAACCCATGTCATCATGAAAACAGGTTTGTTGGGACCCAGSTGATCAAATCCTATATGGACAGAGAATTTTACCTTTAGTTTAACCAACAAGCAGACAGGTCAGCAAGAAATTTAATAAGTTTGAGGACAAGGTATTGATTGTTTTCTCTGTTGTAAGGTTTTTGTTTAAGCTGGTGAATCTTTCTCATTCTATTTCAGAGAATCAGTGTGAGGGCATTTTTTTTCCTTGTGTCATTCAAAGTTAATGAAAATAAAATAATTTGATATTTGTTTCTCCAGCTGCCTGGTCATCATTTTCAGATGTTTACAGCATGCTAGTGTGAAGTAGTTCAGAGCCAACCAAAAGCAAACAAAGATAATTCCCAAAGAAGTAATGCCTTTTCTTGCTTCTTATCTTAATTTAATAATTTTAAAAAGGGTTCACAAGAGGTGCATGTGCTCATTTCCTCCAGTTTAGTAACATTGTGACACTTGGAAATTTGGAATTTTGGACCTTTTGTATAGTTTTAATGCTTTGCAGCAGCACTTAGCAAAAGATGTTTGCTTTTCCAAACAAATAACCTGTTTTTTTTGCTAGTAACAAAACTAAAAGAGATGTGACTCTTGTTTGCTCTGCAGATGAGGAGCTGGTGTGTGAACGGACACTGAAATAYTTCCTGGGCATTGCAGGAAGAAAATGGGTGGTCAGTTATCTGTGTATGTATAACTTGTTTTGGAGCTAAGAAATCTTTGCCTTTCTACCCTGAGTATGGCCTTCACTTGTTACAGTAAAGAAAAAGGATCTCTTCATGTCTTACCCTCTGATGTTTTGCAGTGTTTCTTCTAAATACTCTAAAATTTAAATTAACCTGAACAAACAAKCAACATCAAGCTTCTTACTCTTGTGAATACTTTTTCTGTTTTCAAAAAGCCACATTGGATTGCTCCCCACTGTGGCAAAAGCCTTTTGTCTCTCTTATTTTAAATCCTTGCAGTGCATGGCATCAATTAATATAAAACTAGTATTATTTATAAAAGGTAAAATTTTTTTTTTTTAGTTTCTTTCAATGTTCCACTGTATTCCTTTAGTACAAATCCCTTCAATTTAATATAGCAATGAAGTCAGGCTGCTGGCAGTGGAAGAACAATTTTGCTGGATAAAAAGACTTTTCTTTTTCTGATCTTTTTATTTAGGGATAATTCAGTCTTTTAAAGAAGGAAGGATCCTGGATGAGGTAGGTCTTTTATCTTAAATGAAGTCTCAAATGGTTCAGTAATGCTGTTACACTGATGGCCTTAGCAGTCCCCTCAGATATTATGTAATCATTTAATATATGGAATTTTAGCTCTGAAACCTGGAATTCTAGTTTTACCAAATGCCAGGACCAAAAACCATACTTGGGCTATATGTGTTCATTGTTATTGGAGACATTACGAGTTCCTATTAATTTTTTAACAGGTTATAGATTTATTTTTACAAGTGTTCCTACTGATATTAATAAATTATGGCATAGRGCAAAAGATCTGTTCTTTGCTTAAKAAAATAGTGTTATGTAGAGATAATTTCTATCAAATAAGACTCTACTGAAAAGATAATTACAGTCTTRGAGTGTGCTGCTTCTTTTATTCAGTTTGCAAGACTACTGTACAGTTTGACTATAATTTGTTTATTTTAAAATTTCCTGATGTTGCAGGGGTTTTATTACTCCACCATTTCTCTTGCAAAGCCATTTAATTAATTTCCTGAGCACACTCACAGATTTTCAGTTTGGAAATCTGACCTTTTCCTGTTCTGATGCAGAACTTTGTGTTCTCAGGCTCTAACTTCTGATTCCCTGTTTGTGTTGTGTTCCAGGAGAACTTTGAAGTTCGAGGGGATGTAATCAATGGGCGAAACCATCAAGGTCCCAGGAGGGCTCGACAGGCTCTGACTGAAAAGGTACAAGGGATGCAAACTCTGTCCTGTTTCAGATATGTGCCTGTGCTTGCTGAATGCCTGGAACTTCTTCCAATTTCTCTGCTGTTCTGCATACCCAGAGTTGTACAAATTAAGTATTTTTATGCATGAAAGGTCAGCTCTGTCAGCAGAGCAGATATTCTGCAGTGACTCACTGAGCCTGGAGTGAATGTTATCTCTTTATAACACAGGGTCAGTGGCCTTTTATAATCTTTTGGTTTGTAGGTTACAAAGAGCTCTGGATACACTTTCTGAAATAGTGATAACTTGGTAACAAGCCCTGGAAGGGCAGTGAAAACAGCATATTAAATTGTCCTTTAAAACCCCCACATGAACTTTAACATGTTCCTTGCTTTTCAGATCTTTAAAGACTTTGAGATCTGCTGCTGTGGCCCTTTCACTGACATGACTACAGGTGTGTTGTTTCAGTGGAGCTGGATGAACCATTWACATAAAAAATATTTGGAGGGGTGCTGTGAATTCACCAGAATTTTACATTTGACCTCTTCTTGGATAGTTTTTTACCTCTTTTCCTCTGTAATTTTAAAAATACCTGCATAGGGTAGAGTGTAGGTAAAGAACTTTATCCACTTGTATYTCCAGAGGGAGAGGAAATGGTGTTCTCTTCTCTTTGAATGTCCTCACACAACCCTGTGGTAATTCTGCTGTATTTCAAACCAGGCCTTTTATCTACTTTATCTCTGATTCTCTAGCACTGAAGGGAAAGCATTAATGTCATGCTGTCTGGTAATTGTTATTGATGCTCTTCAACACTTGTATTTGAGATTTTTTTTCTGTATTAGCAAACAGTTCCTAAGTATTCTTTTCCTAGCAGCTGATACATCCTTGTTGTACCTTTCTGTCTGCAGAAGCAGGTGTTAAAAGTGAAACATGAGAAGGCTARAATTTAATATACAAAGAAAAAGCTGTGCAGGATAGCTTCATTTTTTTTACTTTTAAAATTTAATAAAGTATGCTACATGTTTTGAAAATCCAAGCTATAATTTTTCTGCTTAAAATATTTGTACTTGACTTCCCACTCATTCAGTAGCTGCCTTTTGATTTGTCCAATATAACTTTATTTTTGACTGGGTGAAATATGCTCACATCTCTTGACATTTACAGTAATTGCTGCAAGGGATGCAGTGCTTTCACCTGCTGCAGTGATCCTCAATTGTGCCACTTATACTTGAGGCACTTAATCTTCTTCACCACCAATTCCACAAATTGKTGGAAATTAAGTACTTTGGCTACTTTTGTTAATGAGAGATAATCACAGTGCTAACTTCTGATTTTTAATGCTCRTTTCATGTCTTGCATCCTTATGATAAGAGGAAATAAATAGTGACTGTAGGTTCTGGGCATGTGTTCCAGGGCTTTTTCAGGGTCTTGTTTTGTGCAGACCTGACTTAGGGGGGAGGAAGAGGGAGATGATGTTCCCYAGCAGGTTTGAAAGTGAAAGGACTGATTTTGTACCGAGGCTGACATCTCTTTCAAATTAGAGCTTGGGGAATAGTGTCAGCCTCAATGTGATATAAAWCACTGAAATATAACTGACTGTTGTTCTGATTTCCTCAGAACACCTGGAGTGGATGGTGGAGCTCTGTGGTGCCTCTGTGGTGCAGCAGCTGGACCTGTTCACACACAGACCGGTGAGTGGTGATGGGTGTCACCTTCCCAAAGTTTCCAGAGCTGCAGTGTCCCTGCACAGCCTGGCATTGTCCCTGCAGTGTCCCTGCACAGCCTGGCATTGTCCCTGCACAGCCTGGCATTGTCCCTTGCAGTGTCCCTGCAGTGTCCCTGCACAGCCTGGCATTGTCCCTTGCAGTGTCCCTTGCAGTGTCCCTTGCAGTGTCCCTGCACAGCCTGCCAGTGTCCCTTGCAGTGTCCCTTGCAGTGTCCCTGCACAGCCTGCCAGTGTCCCTTGCAGTGTCCCTTGCAGTGTCCCTGCACAGCCTGGCATTGTCCCTTGCAGTGTCCCTTGCAGTGTCCCTGCACAGCCTGCCAGTGTCCCTTGCAGTGTCCTTTGCAGTGTCCTTTGCAGTGTCCTTTGCAGTGTCCCTGCAAAGCCTGCCAGTGTCCCTTGCAGTGTCCCTTGCAGTGTCCCTGCAAAGCCTGCCAGTGTCCCTGCACAGTCCCTGCACAGCCTGGCATTGTCCCTGCAGTGTCACTTGCAGTGTCCCTGCATAGCCTGGCATTGTCCCTTGCAGTGTCCGTTGCAGTGACCCTGCAGTGTCCCTGCACAGCTTGCCAGTGTCCCTTGCTCCCTGGCCTGGCCAATCTTCCCCAGAAGACAGCTTCCTTCTAGTGGAGAAGCAGTTTCTGTTGGCCAGATAACTAAATTAGTCTTGAAATCAGCACTGAGCCTCCCTTTCCAGCATGAAAAGCCTTTTAGTGGCTGAATGCAGTCGCAGCATTTCTGGAGAGAAATCACAGAAGGACATCATTAATGTCTTTGTCCCTCTGCTACTTCTTAAATTCCTCTAAAATGATCCTCTGAAGCAGAGTTAGCCCAGTTATTGCTCTCTGTAGAYAGAGATGAGAATGATGTAAGGACAGACAGATAACAAAGCATTTTCAATTTTTTTTATCTTGAAATCCTAGAATTCCACTGCTGTTGTGGTTGTGCAGCCAGATGCTTGGAAGGAAACCAYGGATTGTAGAGGTAAAGCAACACTGTCATGGGCTGCTTTCTGATACACCCTGAGTGTCTTTATCACATCTGTCCTTTTAACAGCTAAATATCAGAGGTTTGTAGAGGAATCAAAACTCTACTGTATCTGGAGTCTTGAAAGAAAACTCTAGAAGGATAAAGTATATTGACTCAAGAACCAGCAATAGAGTCTTAAAAGCTGCTCTGGCAGATAAAAGCTGTTGCCTCAGTTGGCCTTTTTGTATCATCAGCTTTACAGAAACTTTTCTAATTGAATTGTTCTTAAAAGTTGGGGAAGGGTGTCCTTGGAGGAGCAGYAAGATCTAGGACAAAGCCTCAGATGGAACAATATTCCCTTGGTCTGGAAAGGTCGTGTTAAAAAGCTTTAACTGATAAGAGTTGCACATTTTTTTCTTTTAAGCAAAATACTCTGGAGAAACCATGAGATATTGAAAGTTCAAGTGTTCCAGACTTGGAGATAGTGGGGTTCTGCAGTGAATGGGAGCTGGGTAGTCTACAGTGGAGTCCAACAAGTGAAGCAGAATGATGTAAAAAAACCCAGCTGTTTGTTTCCATGGCACTGGAAAAATGAGAAAAAGATCCTGGGATGAGGAAGAACTAAAAACACTTCAGTAATTTTCTGTTGCTTCTGTCTTAATGACACTCATTGCTTGTCACACACTCAATATGCCTGGGCARACAGGAACCAAGGCTCTGTCACTGAGATCTGAAATTAAAATATAACCACTGCATTCTTTGTTTTTAGTGTTTATGCTGTGTGTTCACTGCCTGTGGCCAGACAGCTCTGCTCTCTGGAGCAGCAGCATTACCTGCCTGGTTTCAGACTTGTGATTTTTGAGACTTTAAACATCACTGGTTTGAGATTTCTTGATTTTCATCAAAGCTTTTAAAACATCACACACAAAGCAGAGCAGACTCACCTTAAGCTGGTTTGACTCCTCAATTACCACTGCATGGTTTGATTCTTTGTCTTTCAGCAATCCAGCAGCAGAACAACGTTGCCATGGTAACTCGGGAATGGGTCCTGGACAGCGTGGCTTGCTACGAGTGCCAGGAGCTCAGTGCTTACCTCGTGTCCTAAGGGTGAGGAGCAGCTCTTCTTCATGACACAATCACTTCATTTTGCCCTCTGAAGATGGARTTACCCACTGTTCTTTAAAGCTTTGCGTGAACTTAAAGAGCTGTTTTGAAATTGTAAATGTTAAGGAAATTTTGAAAGTTGGGAAATGTAGCATTTCTCCTTGCAGAAATGGAGATGCAGCATTTGCCACTGCAGCCTGTTCTGTTTAGAAACTTGAGGACAGTTTGGAGACAGTGGCTTCAAAGAGGCATGTTGGGCTCAGGGCTTGAATTACAACAWCCCTGCACTCTGGAGTAATCTCCACATTTTCATTTTGTTTAAATACAGACCCTGAGTACTATTTCATGATTATTAATGTATCAGCCTTGGYCATTGATCGATTATGGTGGTGTTGAAACTGTACAAACAGCTTTCCTGTTATCAAAGGGCCAGCTCACCCCAACCAGAAACACTTCCCATGGTCCACAGAAAGCCAATGATTGAGTCTGGACAGAAGGCAAGATTTAAAACCAGGAACCTGTACCAGTGCTGTTGGTCTGATTTAAAACCAGGAACCTGTACCAGTGCTGTTGGTCTGATTTAAAACCAGGAACCTGTAGCATTGCTGTTGGTCTGATTTCTGACAAGTGGCCCTGTGAATCTGCTTCTAACAGTCTCTGCTTGCAAAATGAGGCTGCAGAGAAATTGGGTTTTTATGAAAGAAAGTATCTTGCTTGTTCCTGTTGCCAAGCAGTTCAGCTTCACCCCTGATTTTGTACTTTGAGAGCAGGAAGAATCTGTTCTCATGAACTGGTTGTTTAAAAAGAAGAAAATGTAGCTAAGTTCAGAAAATTGTTTTGTGATAAGATGCTGCTGTTTTCAAAAGTTACAGAAAGTATGTTTATAAATATTTGAATGCACAAAGGAAATAAAATTATTTTGGCAAGTATTTTACCTGATTGTTTAGCTTTTCTTAAGTRAACCAGTCCCTCAGTCTTTGAATTGAGGCAAATGTGAAAAAATACCCAAGTCCAACCTCCTGAAATGGGGAAGTGGAGACTGATTAGAGCAAGTAAACGATGTAAATGAGGATTTCAGAGATGCAATCAGAATTGCAATTGTCACAGCCCTGAGATGTGAATGTGTTATCAACTGCCTTGCAGCTGCCAAGTGCAGGTAGGCTGATCAAGCATTGCTGCTGTGAGTGCCACGAGCGTTTGCTCAGCTGCCACACACCACTGTTCCCTTCTGTGTGACAATATCCCATAACCACCAGCCTGTTCAGCTCAGCCTGGCTTTCAGAGTGATGCTCCTCTTATCTCAAAAGCCCACGCTGGCAGTGGGTATTTTATAATCTGCATTTCAAAGGGWAGCTGGAGGCAACAACTAAATGCTGCCTGGTAGATGCAAGGAAAAGGCCAAGAAAAACAGTTCTGCTTTGGCCATTGGGAAATTGTCCCCCAGATCTTGCTGCAAAGGGTCTTTCTGTCAGGTAAAAGCTGACATAATTGTGTATAGGAATAACACCCATGGTGCTGCTACTCCTCCTTGGAGTAACTAGATCTGTGGAAATTCTGTTTTTGTAAATGTTACCTGTGAACTTTTGTAGTGATCTCCATCTCGTGGAAGATTTGAATGRAGTGAAATGATGACCAAACACAGCTCTAAAGCCCAAGATCTGCTTCCAGAGGAGCAGGCAGTTCAAGGGGAGCTCCTTTGTGCAATCCATGTGTACTTCTCCAGATTTCCAGCATCAGTCACAAAGCCCCAGCCCCTGGACTGTTGGAGCACTCTGTGGCTCATACTCTGTCAGGATCAAGCTCCATTTCTTCCCTGTTTGCTCCTGTGCCAGAGCAGGTTTGTGATGCTTTGCAGGGTGGGAAACCTGCAGTGGATGCAGGGAGAGAGGAAACACAGCAAAGATTGGTTCCTGCTCTAGGTTGGCTGAGGCTTTGCCATCAGATAAAAACCAGATTTGTTGGGTTTTTTTAATTACTTGTAAGTCTGGTTATTGCAATCTTTGGTCTTACTGGATTTTTTTTTCTATTTGCTTGGTCAGTACCTAATTCTTGAGTGAAAAGCCCAAAAGGAAGGGTGTGCTCAGTTGGATCAAGCTGTACAGAGAAATTGTACTCTCCTTCTGTTCCCTGTGGGGATGGCACCCTGCACTATGAGAGCTGCTGAACAATGATGCTGGTGAACAAAAAACCTGTGTAGGTGCACAGTGAACTCCAGCAGGTTCCTTGGAGCTGTTCCCATGCTGACAGGGGAAAATCCCAGCACTTTTAAGGTTTGATTTTCTTTCTACTTCCTCATATATACAAAAAAGACTCCCCAGCTTCTGCGTGTCTGGAGAAGCAGCTGTCCCAGCTCSCTTCACACAGGATGCACTCCCCTCGTTTCTCTCAGGTCACCACCCAGCATTTGGGACCAGCCCATGAAATCTGAGCCTGTAGCAGCCTCTCATTTCCTTCCCCTTTGAACCAGAAACTCCAGAAATGCCAAAATTTCGTCATTCCCGAGGCGTTTCCATGCGCGCATCTCTCAGGTCTGTGCAGTGCAGTCACTCTGCCCTTGCAGAGCTTTCCAAAACAGCTCCGAGCATCAGGGCAGTGCCTGTCAGATGGATTTCACTGTGCCAGAAAACCTGTACTGGCATATTTCTTCCATTTTTGACGGATTCACCTGCAGGATTCACTAGCAGGACACAGCCACATGCGGCTGGCCAGCCGCATGTGGCTGTGTCCTGCTGGTGAATCCTGCTCAAAATCCCCAAATGTGAGCTGGGTAGGAACATTCCAGCTCCGAGCGAGCTTTTTTCAGGGCTCCAAAAACCTGAGCAGCCTCAGTTTCCCCAGCCACACCAAGCCCAGGCAGCCCGGCTGGGAGGGAAAGTGCAGAAAAAAAGGAAGAAATCCCCAAACCTGAGTTGAAGCCGGCAGAGGAGCTGCCAAGATGCTTTTTCAAGCACTCACCAGGCAAGATCTGACAAAGCTGTCTARAGGGAATGCAGAGAATCAGGGCAGCTATTTATACCCTGCAGGGATGCTGGGTCAGCCATTTCCCACGGGCTCCTCATCCCTTTGTTCATTTTCCCCCCTTTCACAAAAAMCTCTCCAGAAACTTTTTTAGGAGGTGTGTGGAGGATTTCCTCCCCTGCTTGCACTCTCTCGTGTTTCTCATTCCTGGCTTTGATTCACTGAAGGTTTATTTTGGTTTAAGAAATCTYTTGCAGAAAAATCAGCAGCACTGGCGAGAGAAACTCCTCAAACCAGTTCAGGATTAGACAAACAGTTTATACTTTAGAGGAAGAAGAATCCTCACCACAAACCAAGAACTGCCAGACTCTCACCGTGCCTGGAACCAAGTGTGGGTGAGGAAAAACATCCAAGAATTTTCCATAACCTGTTT